TCCCTTGAATTAGGGGCATGAAATGCTGGAGGACCAACACTACTGCCCGTAGCTGTAGGAGGTTGCTGTGTCGTGTTTCTGTTAGAGACCAGCGCCCACCTATAGCCCTCTTCAGGCAGGTCCCTCCCCATCCTGTTCCCGTGAACACTGTGATGTAGGAGGTTACCCGTCCCAGTGGAGACCCCCAGAACCGGAGGTTGCCCTCCACTGAGGGGGGATGGTCACCAGCCGCCGTTTGTGCCTCTTGGGATCCAAACGCAGGCTGGAGAACCACCTCTGCAGGCGGCGCATATGCAGTAACCCCTGCGGGACCACAATGTGAGCAGCCGTCATGAAACTCAAAGTATGCATGACAGAACCGCCCGGAGAAGGGACACACGTCTGCTCCCTGACAGGGTGGCGCGTAGCACACCTGCATCGAACACCACTCCCAACTACAACGCCTGTTGGTGAGGTATGGGGATGCTCTTTTTTCAATTGATCGCAAAGCCTAATTTGGTTAGGTGTGTGATCAATTGTGCTGTGCTGTTCCCGGGACCCAGCCATGACTATGAGGTCATCTGGGTAAAAGAAAACTCTCATGCCATGGGCGCGCAGCGGTTGAAGTGCAGTGGCCACACATTTACTGAACATGCGTGGGGATAGGGAATAGCCGAACGGTAATCTGTTGTACTCGTAGGCTATCCCCTGGAAGGCAAAACGCAGACACTTTCTGTGCTCTGGAGCAATTTCCACATGAAAGTATGCGTCTTTCAGGTCGATGGTGGTGAACCAATCGCCCGGTTTGCACTAGCCCCATTAACTGTTTTATAGTTAACATGCGGAATTTTCTGCAGGCAATGTAGCGATTCGGGCTGCTGAGATCTAGAATAGGTCTGAATTCCCCTGTCTTCCTGAGAACCAGGAAGTACATGGAATAAAGACCATTTTCTCTGTGCTGAGGGTGCACAACAGACACAGCCTGTTTCTGCACCAGAGCCTGAATCTCTGCTGAGAGGAAACCAATCTCCTCCTGGGAAGACAGATTTCCTCTCGCATGCCCATAAAAGGAGGTGGGACGCTGCAAAACTGGAGTGAATAGCCCCGTTTCAGCGTCCTGTCCATCCACTTTGTTAGTACACAGCTGAGTTTCCATTCCCCATAACATTGTGTTAATGGACAAGCCCTCCGCTGTGGGGCCGCAGCTATAAAGCTGTGATACTCTCTGGTGACCCGTTCCGCCGCAACTCCCCGTGAAGGGAAGATTTGCCCATGGCCTTATGAAACCAAAATATATTGTAATATATTGGTAAATATAATACAATATATATGTCCGGAGCTTTGTGAACATTCAATTTCGAAGATTTTCGATGTTACAGTCAACTGAAGTCGACCCAAAACAGCCAAAAATAGCGGACCTTTAGATCGCTAACATTTAGCATAAGTCAATGGAGTTTAACATAGCGGAAATTAGCATCGCGGCTAACGGACATTTTCTGACTGGTGAAGATGATGAGCTGGTTAAGTAATGTAACCACAGTTAGCCTATGTGTTCTGATGTTAGTAACTATGTAAGCTAACATTAGTTAGGCTATGTGTTGTGGACTAATGCATTCAAGTTAGTTCACATTTTAGTTGTTATTGCCCCTGCTGACAATTGTGTGGATAATATGTAGCCTATACAGTCAATGGAATTTCACATTTTGCTCTCCAATGTATGTTATTTTAATGTTGACCCATAATACTATAACTATATATTTTACAGGAGCATTGTTGAAATGCATAGGTCGAACTAAGCCTGCAGAACCACACGTCAAAAGGACAGAGGAGCCAGATCGCAGTGGTGAGGAACGCACTGTCATTTCATTTCACTGTAATTTTTAAAGTTTTCACATATCACTTTATTCACTATTCAGCTTAGTTATTTATTCAGTTATTTTATTACTGGTACTGCTAATTGCACTATGCATATTGTTGTATATTGTATATACGTATGTATTTACTACTACTACTTACAAAATTGAGGGTTGTAGCTTTGTGTCAGTGCATGTTTCAGGGTTTTTCTATGCCTTTGTTCATCTAAATTCTATTACTCAGACGACTACAACTCCTGCCGATGCTGAGGCCCAGTTCTCCCTTCCCACCACCCCAGGCTCATTGTGCTAGGTAAAACTCTCATTCAATAAAAGTAGTCTTTTAAAGGTGGGGTAGGTAATTTTGTAGAAACCAGCTCGAGATCGCTAGAATTTGAAAATACACAGCTGGAAAAAATCTGCCACTTCCTTACAGAGCCCCTCCTCCAACACACACGAACGCGCACATGACCAATGAGGGCACGAGATAAGTTTGTGCACAGATGGAAGGCTGACAGGCAGGTAGGCCATCCAGTTACTTTAGCCGGGCCGGCTCGAATTATTGGTCGTGTTTTTTACAGTACTACGGCATCCACAGATGACATTTTTTAATGGATTTTTTGTCAAAGCACTTCAGATATTCATTGCTATCGGGATGTTAATAGCATTCCATGGAATATAACAAAAAGTGTATCTCGAGCCGGTTTCTCAAACTTACCTACCCCACCTTTAATGATGAATGCAATTACATTTTAAAACGTTTTAAACAGAACTGTTACAGATGCAGATGCTTGGTCCAAATTCCATAAAACATACCAACCAGTAGCGCCACACTCAGACGAAAATGTACAAAGCCTATTGTGAAGTAAAAACTTCTTTGCAGCAATGTTGAGCCAATCATGAAATGAGGGAAACTGGATTCGCCTTAGTCAATACACTGATATTTATTGAGGATTCGTACGGCCGGAGAGATCACAGTATATCACAGTTCTCATTTAAGATACCAGCAAACTCTGAAGACAAAGGAGCCAGGAACACATCTATACATGAGTAAAGAGGAGGGCCCTAAAACACGCAGGTTTTCCTTTAATGCATGCCAGATGTCGAGACAAAGACTTGTTGCATTGCAAACCCACATGAGCCAAGCTTCTCCCCCACAGAATATCAGATGACCTCTTGACCTGTGTCTTCCTGAGAAGCTATGGATCACATTACAGGCAGGAATACACTTTAACCAGAAACAGATTCCCGAGGACAAGTCACTAAACTCTATATACTTTAACAAGACTAAAATATTCCTTTACACCTATTCTTCCACTATTTGCATTCCCACATTATTCACCAAGCCAGCCCATGCTTTAATATAGAATTATGGATATTGTTATAATTCCTGCTGTCTTTTGTGAACTTCTAATTATTTGTAATTGTTCTGTTCCACAGATGCTGTAGCAAACCACCATCCAGGGATCAAGACATCAGATATAAGAAAATCCATTAACACAAGAATTTGTGAGTTAAGGCACCAGGTGAAGCGAAAAAACAAGATGGACGATTAAATAGGGTACAAGACTGGTTTTTTTGGCCCTGTTCCGGACCTTGTTTTAATGAGTGATCAGCTCATGTTTAAAGTTGTCACCAGGTGAAACAAAAAACAAGATTGTTAAATAGGATAACAGACTGCTCTTTTTGGCCCTGTATGAAATAACAATGCATCATTTATTAACTATACCTATACAACATGTAATACATTTTCCCTTCATTATGTAATAACACCTCCTTTTGTAATAATTTGCCCATTATATAGTAAACAAGTTCAATGCAAATATGTAATACATGTCGCCACATTTTGAAATATATTATTACATATTGCAGTGGTTATTACAAAATGAGTTGCAAACAATAACATTACAACTGTTTATTTATTTATTCAACCATGAATCATCCTTACTCATAATTAATTGAAAAATATTTCAGTAGAATATCTTTCATTGGCCAAAACTAGATCAAGTGTTCATTCAAAAGCCAACATGTATATCAACATCAATTTTGGGATATATTTACAGTTTGGGTATGGTTACATAATGAATATTACAGTTTTTTAAAAGGGCAACTCACGCATTTTGTAATAACCATTGCAAAATGTAATAATTTATTACAAAATGTGGGTTTTATTACATAACTACGTGAAAATTGTCTTGAGTCATTACATAATGTGTTGTTTATAGGCTTTTATTCTTTCCTTGTCCTTCTTTTAATGAGTATGTTGATAACTGTTACACATTGATAGAAAAAAAACAATTAAAGATTTGTTTTACCAGAACATGCATTTCTCCTCAATGTGAACATATATTGCTCTTATGTTCGGAATATATGGTACGTACATGGTCTTTTATAAATCTGAATATATATAGTGCATACATGTCCCCATATAATTGTGCATACAGTATATAGCGCATACATGTCCCCATATAATTGTGAATATATATATAGTACATACATGTCCCCATATAATTATGAATATATAGTACATGCATGTCCCCATATAATTGTGAATATATATAGTACATACATGTCCCCATATAATTGTGAATATATACTACATACATGTCCCCAGATAAATCTGAATATATACTACATACATGTCCTCATATAATTGTGAATATATAATACATACTTGTCTCCATATACATCTGAATATAGAGTACATACATGTCCCCATATAAATGTTAATATGGTAAATGCATGTTCACATATATACACAAGCAAATTATATATATTTACATATATTACTCAATATATGGAAAGCAGCTATTACTGATGTATTATCCCATATATTGTAATATATTAACACAATATATTATTCTATATATCAATATATTGTAATATATTAACACACAATATATTATTCTATATATCAATATATTGTAATATATTAACACAATATATTATTCTATATATCTTCAATATATTTTGTAGATATGAATAAATATGTTTTTCATGTTGATTATTGTGGTATTTTACCTTGTGTTATTATTACATGTTATTGCATTTGTCCAGCAGGGGGCAACTCACTCTTGGTATTAAAAGAGCCTGTTGTATACGTTCCCATGAGGAAGTCCCGGAAGCATGTTACCAAAGTAAACCAGTTAAATCTATTCTTACGTTGTGGACATACAATTATTGATCACAAGATACAACATATTATTGGCGACGAGGATTAAGAAGAGGATTAAGACAAGGATCAAGACGGGATCAAAGAGGACATGCCGAACGGACTGGTTAGCACCTTACATGCAGGTTTGGGTCGTTAGCGGCAGCTAGCTCAAATTATTAGCAACGTCTGCGGGTGGAGGAGAGGATTCATTGACACACAATGGCAATGATTGGCACGATGGCACCTTTTGATGCAAAACATCAGAAGTGGGAAGAATACCGTGAGGTATTGGACGTTTTTTGAGGCTAATGAATTTGATAATGGAGACAGACAAAGAGCCATATTAATAAGTGTTGTGGGATCATCAACATACAGCGTTATGAAAAACCTCCTCAGTCCAGATAAGCCCAAGGATAAGACTTACACACAACTTGTGGAGCTGCTAAAAAATCACATTGACCCAAAGCCTAGTGAAATTGTGCAAAGGTACAAGTTTGACTCCCGCAACCGTGAGCGCAATGAGTCAGTAATGGAATACGTGGCTGAGCTTCGTCGGTTAGCGCAGGATTGCAACTATGGCAACACTTTGCAGCAGAGGTTGAGAGACAGGATCGTCTGTGGAATAAATGAAGATCGGATTCAGAGACGACTCTTATCAGAAGCGGATTTAACATTTGAAAAAGCATTGTCAATTGCTGTGGCGTCAGAGACTACAAATAAAAATGCACAGGAGATACAAAACCAAGGGGCCACAGCTAAATTTCAAAATGGATAAAAAGCCACAGGAGGCTTATGCACACAGAGAACCTACCAAAGAGTGTTACAAATGCAAGGGAACCAAGCATGAAGCAGCAGACTGTAAGTTTAAACAAGAGAAATGTCATGCATGTGGTAAAATAGGACACATTGCCAGAGCTTGTCGTAGCAGATCTACACAGAATGGAAACAGCAACAAAAATGCAGACCCAAAGAGAGAAAGGAGGCAAACCACATATCACCGTTCTCATAAAGTACAAGAGCAACAGAGCCAAAGTGATAGCTCAGAAGAAGATACATTCTTTCTGAATAAGATGAGGTTCAGATTGGGACGCATGAGTGAAGTGCACCTGAGACGAGTAGACCCATACATGGTTGAAGTGAAGCTGGATAGTAAGTTTGTTAACTTTGAGATAGACACTGGCTGTAGTTTCACAATAATGAATGAACAGACATTCCAAAGACTATGGAAAGACACAAAAAGTCCATGTTTGAGACCAACCAAAATCCACATCGAGTCTTATACAGGTGACCCTGTTAATGTGGTCGGAGCTGCCATTGTTAGAGTGAAATACAAACATCTCATTGTGGTTAAAGGGGACGGCCCCAGCCTGCTGGGAAGAGGCTGGCTGGAGGAAATACATCTGAGTTGGAAAGAAATCAAGCTCAGACACAAATCCCGAGTCCTGAAACACCTGAAGACAGAGGACAAATCGCTGCAGCAAGTACTGAGCAAACATGAAAATGTCTTCAAAGAGGAGCTTGGCACACTGAAAGGTATGAAAGCTACCATCCATGTAAAGGCTGATGCAGTCCCTCGTTTCTTCCGTCCGAGGTCTGTCCCGTATGCCATGCGCACCAAAGTAGATGAAGAAATAGACAGATTGTTGAAAGAAGGAGTAATCTCACCTGTTAAACATGCAGAATGGGCAGCACCAGTGGTTCCAATACTGAAGCCTGTTGGGACAGTAAGGCTCTGTGGAGACTACAAGCTCACTGTAAATACAGTTTCCTCACTTGAACAATACCCCATACCCCGAATGGAAGATCTGTTTGCAGCACTGACAGGAGGAAAACAGTTCACAAAGTTGGATATGAGTCATGCATACCAGCAAATACTCATGGATGACGAATCAAAGAAATACTTAACAGTGAATACGCACAGAGGCTTATTCACATACAACAGACTGCCTTTTGGAGTAGCATCAGCCCCAGCTATATTTCAGAGGACAATGGAAGGTCTCCTGCGAGGCATTCCTTTCGTGCCAGTGTATTTAGATGACGTCCTGGTGAGCGGTGTGGATGAGGAAGACCATCTGCAGAACCTCAAAACAGTATTGGCAAAGCTGGAGGAGGCAGGAAGGAGAAGGAGCAAGTGCACTTTCCTGGAAGAGGAAGTGGAATATCTGGGACATCGAGTGGACGCACAGGGACTTCACCCAGTGGAAAGGAAAGTCAAAGCCATCATGGAGGCTCCCAACCCCACAAATGTTACTGAACTCAAGTCATACTTAGGTTTGCTAAATTACTATAACACATTTCTGCCAAACTTAGCTACACTATTGGCACCACTGCATGAGCTCCTGCGACAAGATGTGCGATGGACATGGCAAAAGAAACAGGAAGAGGCTTTTAAAAAATCAAAGGCCCTGTTAAACTCAGCAGAAGTGTTGGTGCATTACTCTGATGCCCGAGAGTTAATTATGTCATGTGATACGTCACCTTACGGGGTGGGCGCTGTTTTATCACACGTAATGGACGATGGAACTGAACGTCCTTTGGGGTTCATGTCGCGTACCCTAGCGCCTGCTGAAAAGAATTACTCACAGCTAGACAAAGAAGGCTTAGCAATTATATTTGGAATCAAGAAATTACACAAGTACTTGTATGGTCGAAGTTTCACCATCTATACAGATCACAAGCCACTGATCTCTCTCTTCAACGAAAAGAAACCCATTCTACAGATGGGTTCCCCTAGAGTTCAGAGATGGGCGGTGCACCTGAGTGCCTATGAGTATCACTTTGTGTACAAACCAGGAAAGAACAACGCTAATGCGGACGCATTAAGCAGACTGCCGCTGTCGGAAGATGTGCGAGAGAGTGAGACCGCAGAACAAGTGCTCATGATTGATCTTCTGGATGACACACTCGTGGACACAGCCAAAATAAAACACTGGACAGCTAAGGATGTAATATTGTCTGAAGTTCATGGTTATGTCCTGTCGGAGTGGCCTTCAGTGACTGAGGCTCCTCTCAAGCCGTATCATCAGAGGAGAGAGGAACTGAGTGTGAGGGATGGCTGCGTGCTCTGGGGAGCCAGAGTCATCGTACCAAACAAAGGCAGGGAAAAGATATTGAAAGTACTGCACCAAACACATTCCGGCATGTCAAAGATGAAAGGTCTGGCTAGATCTTATGTATGGTGGCCGGGGATGGACCAGGATGTAGAAAAGGAAGTGCAGTCTTGTGAGGAGTGCCAAAAGCACCACAAGTCACCACCATCAGCACCATTACATCCCTGGGAGTGGCTGGAGTCTCCCTGGACGAGAATTCATGTGGACTATGCAGGTCCTTTCCTGGGAGAGATGTTTCTACTGATAGTGGTGTTGTAACTTGTTTTATTTAAGGCAGTAAAACATTTGATTATTTGATTTCTTGATATAAGTTAAAAGGTACGTTTCACAAGAAATGCTTTTATTTTGAAGTGCAAGTATGTCTCTTCCTCTGACTGCTTCCTGTTGTTATGAAAAATTGAATACGAGCATGTCGAGTGCATTTTCTCTGTCTTCCACCGTTCTTTTTGGAAACTGTTTAAGGAATATAAAGTAAAGGTTCAGTTTGAAATAGACTGTGCTTGGTTCTTCCTTCGAAGCTTCTATTACACAACAAGTGAATGCTCACTCAAAATGGATGGATATTTATCTAGTGAAGTCAGCTACATCACAGGTGACCATTGAAAAGCTACGTCAGAGTTTCAGTGTTTTTGGACTGCCAAAAATGTTGGTGTCAGACAACGGAACCTGTTTTACAAGTGCTGAATTTGAGACTTTCATGAAACAAAATGGCATCCGCCATGTGAGGTCAGCACCGTTTCACCCGTCTTCTAATGGGCTGGCAGAGAGGGCGGTCCAAACCTTCAAAGGGGGGATGAAAAAGATGAAAGGTGAAACATTGCAAACTAGACTGTCAAGGTTTCTGTTCAGTTACCGCATCACACCTCACGCGACCACAGGCCTGTCGCCTGCAGAGTTGATGATGACAAGGAGACTCAGATCTGCACTTGACCTGCTCCTGCCAGATGTGAAAACAAGAGTGCAGCAAAAACAACTAAAACAGAAACAGTCCCATGACACAAACAGGAAACTGAGAAGTTTCTCACTTGGGGAGAAAGTGTTCATCAGAAACTACTCTTATGGACCTAAATGGATCCCTGCGGTCATCGACAGCTCATCAGGTCCAGTGTCATATACAGTGATCATTGGAAGTGGTCAAGTCGTGAAGCGGCATGTGGATCAAGTAAGAGCCAGATTGACAGACACCGTGTCCTTAGAGCCAGTGCTGGACTCCAACAGAGACACTGTGGTTCCAGTGACAATCGAGCAAGAAGGACCTCCTGCAAGTGAGCCAGTGATTCTGTGTACGCCGGTCCCGCCGGACTTGCCTGCTAAACCTGTGGTGAGACGATCAGAGCGCGAGAGACAGCCACCTGTATACCTGAAAGACTTTGTTAAATAGATCAAGAGATGTTCAATTAATAGAGCAGCATAATTCTCTGTTCTCACTTTAAGGAAATGTTTAGAATGTTAATCTTTGAAAGTGAAATGATTTATGTCAGTACCTCGAAATGTTGTGTAACGGGAGTATGTTATACCCCCACCTTCGGGAAGTATTGTTAGCTTAAAGGGGGGGAAATGTGGTATCTTACCTTGTGTTATTATTACATGTTATTGCATTTGTCCAGCAGGGGGCAACTCACTCTTGGTATTAAAAGAGCCTGTTGTATACGTTCCCACGAGGAAGTCCCGGAAGCATGTTACCAAAGTAAACCAGTTAAATCTACTCTTACGTTGTGGACATACAATTATTGATCACAAGATACAACATATTATTAATCAGTATCAGTTGGTGTAGCCAACAGCAAGATTTCCTTTATTACATCTTTTCAATTAACCAGTACATCAGAAAACAAAATAATGCAATATATTGACAGTTAATATATGGGGAAATATATTTTCTTTGCGTAAGGGAGGGTCGACAAAGAAAGGGCAGATTATTTACTCAGGTCCCTGAATGCACCGCCGTGCGCTCTTTTGTGAGCGCGCGCTCCACCATAATGCTGTTTTTACCGCTACGGTAAACAGCATTTAATCGGAGTCTTTATAGGCATAGTGTGTTCTACTGAGGTCCCTGAACGCACCGCCACGTGCTCTTGTGTGAGTGCAGCCCGTCCCGAGTGCCGGGTTGCGTTCCGATAATCCAAAAATCAGCTCCTAAATTCTAACCCTATCTCCTATTCCTTGACCTCTGAGTGAAACGTCACGGGGTTAAGGGATAGTGGATAGGAGAATTGAAAAGGACTTAGGAGAAGAGACTGCGGGGTTGCATTCCAATAGTCCATTTAGCTTAGGAACCTTCCTAACGGAGTGAAATGACCCGGAAGTCCCTCAGTGGCAGCCATGATAAGTGCCGTTCCAATTCTCCAAATGAAAGGAAAGGAGGTTTCAAACTTCCTTTATAACCTCCTTTAGCTTAGGAACCACTGGACCTCCCTTACCGAAAGGAGAGGAGAAAATGCTGCCCCACAATGCATTGCAGCCGCAGCATTTGCCGTCACCCAACAGTCGGCCGTTCACGAAAACAACCGATTATGACCGAGAAATTATATCATGAACGTTACGGTGCCTATTAAGCATTTTTAAAACGTATGTGGTAAGTTGCCAAAGTGCTTTTTTCTGAACGTTCATCAGTATTATAATCAAAAAGAGAAATATGAACGTTAGTTTTTACTGAAATGATCAAATAAAGTCAACATTTCACAGTCTTTACTGAGCTGTGTGGAGTTTGTTCAACTTTTAAAAGATGTTTGAATGGTGATATACACAGTGATAGATGTTAAGGACTAACGTTTATAATAAATACATTTGTATTGATTTTAAGATATTTTCATAGTTCATACAATCATACGTATTGGGATCATTTGTATTAATGTGGACCGGAGGGAGAGGGTGACGAGCAGAAGTTTCACTTTCCTTTTTTATTTCAATTCCAACTTTGGTCATGAATAATATGTTTCTCTGTTGTCCACGTTCATAAAGCATAAAGCAACAGCATCAGAGCACGGTGCAGAGTCTCTAGATGAGTTTACAGTAGTCCCTCGTTCTTATTGAACATCCATGTTGTAGTCCTCTGTATAGAAAACTGTAGTTTCCATGGTTTCCCCACAGCAGCAGACGCACATTCATGACGTCCGCTGGCGCATCATAAACACGTCGGATAGTGAAAGTGCAGTCGGATTCTCTAAAGTACCGCAGTCTCTTCTCCTAAGTCCTTTTGAATTCTCCTATCCACTATCCCTTAACCCCGTGACGTTTCACTCAGAGGTCAAGGAATAGGAGATAGGGTTAGAATTTAGGAGCTGATTTTTGGATTATCGGAACGCAACCCGGTACTTTAGACCAGGGGTGCCCACACTTTTTGGGCTGGTGAGCTACTTTTGAAATGACCAGCTCACCCAGGTCTACCAACCAAAAATAAAATCCCAAATTGCAAGGGTTGCTGAATAACACGTTTTATTTATACATGGGATAATAGGGCTGCAACAAACGACTAATTTGATAATCGATTAATCTATCGATTAATGAAACGATTAATCGACTATTCAGACTATTACTGTATGCCTTGCACAATTTCTCAAACCCTCTTATTTAGCCATCAACTTTTAGATTTAGCTTGAGGTTGTTTCAGGCATGTGGAAACTAACAATGAAGACAATAAAGATGAATACTTGATTCAAAAATACATATATTATTAAATTAACAAATTGTTTACAAAATTAACATTGCTTTTTATTTAAATTAAATAAATAATATGTCACATCAAAAGAAACAACAATGTTTTTAACAAATCGTATTAAATAATCTGATGACAGAACTGTAAACAGAATAGCTGAAACTTTAACAAAATAAAGAGTAACTCAGTTTCCTCTAATCATTAACCCATGTTTGAATCAATGAGTTAACTGCGTGTGTTGCTGCTAGCATACATAATAAGACCTGACGTGGAAACGTTACTCGTGGATGGGGGGGCTACAGAGCTGCTAGAAAGACAGTGGAACCCGGTGCATTCCTCCGTCTGGATGTGGAGCACTTTTGCTAAATGAACTTTAGACAAATTGCTCGTGTTACCGCCCTCACATGCTGAACTCTCTTGGCAAGGAGCATTGTCCACCTCAAGACGGGTAACATTTAACCACACCTTGGAGCGCTTCTCCCCGCCATCTCCTCCGTGTGTTGCTGCTTGTAGCAGCCGCGTGTGTGTAAACTGCCCCGCCCCCTCGCGCACAGACGGGGGAGAGATCTCGTCTGGATCGGAAAGGTCGAAAATACACCGACATTTGTTTGTCTTTGTGCATGTTAGAAACGAGTTGGCGACACTAAGACTGCGAGATAATATTTGTGTAGCAATAATACATGACCTTTCTCTTTCTCAACTCGCTACTCGGAGGGAAGTCGCTGTCATATGCCTTGTGAACACTCCGATAATGCCTCTCCACGTTACATATTTGGCAGAGCGACGCTTGCTTTAAAATAAGGCAAATAACCTTTGAATGTGACATCACAAAAAAATACTCTTCCTCCCATTCTGGGTGGAAGTGGTTTGTCTTTAGCTTCTTGCTCGGTCCCGCACTCATTTTGTTGTTTCTCTTGTTTGTCTCTTTAACTTAAAGGAGACCTATCATGCTATATTTAAATGATATAGTGTATGACCATACCTATATAAGGTATATTTATACATTTTATTTTTCAAAATACCAAACAGATCATTTTTTAGCCATGCCTCGTTTCGCTCATTTTCGCTCTTTTCCAAGCCTGTCTTTGAAAATTCTGAGCAGCAGCTGACCACGCCCCCTGCAGAAGAGGGGGGCATGAGCCGGTGAGAGTCATGTTAACATGCTTGCTGTGATTACGAGTGTGGAATAAACATGTCATCTCAGAGCAATGCATGTGTTCAAGCGTATTATCAATTTGATCCAGAGACTGACCCTGAAGCAGCGGAGGTTTTGGTGGAGGTGGAAACATCTCGGTTGCAGCAGGACGTTTCTGAATGGTTAGTTGACAAGCTGTTGTCCCTATTTATTTTACTCTGTTACGATGATTGTTACTTATTCCGTTCATATTTTGGCTAATTAGCAAGAATGCTATGTGTACAGTTTATAACTTAGAGCTTGTAACGCAAAAACAGCGATACATATATATATTTATAAAGGGAGACATTCATATTTTCAGCATATATACAATGGCCTCATTGCGTTTATTAATAGTTTACAGTCCTTTTCTTCCAACATCGTGCAACAACCGTTGGAAAGTTCAATAACTTAGGGTGATAAAAAGTATAACTCCAACAACACCTCAGTTGTCAGCAGTGTGTGTAGTTTCATGTGTTTTTAAAAGCTCAGTTATTGACTTCTTTCTACAGGTGTACATGTGCAAATTGCGCCACGATGCCTTCTGAACGGAGAATGTGTGCTGCATGGCGATACCACAGGTAACATTTTTGATAGCTTCACTAAGTTGTCTGTTTAGAGAATGCATTTTTAACATGTCATTCAATATATCTTTATCACACTAGGTGTCAAGACGGATGCAGGAACTTGAGGACTCTATAACCTGTATGGTGGACCATCCTGGATTGGAGCCTGTGTGCCTGAATGTGTTCTTCCTGCAGAATGCATTGAATATTTACAGAGCTGAACATGGTGGACTACAGTTGAGGCAAATAGAGCAGTGAGTGGTTTGTTTCTTTTGACTGAAATTGTAAAACGAATGCTAATATTGTTCATGGAAATAAATACTGGTGTATATGGCTTTATGCAATCTTTCATTGTACATGTACTATTATATATATATATATTATTACACAGCAATGGCATAACACACCCATGTGTACGACAAAAAAAGTCCACACACAACCTTATGCTTTTGAAATCAGAATATTCTTTACCCATCCAAACATGAATAATCACGACACATTTGATATCAACTCTGAACTTTATTGTCAAAATGAACGGTTCTTTGAACCCATAAAAAAAAAACGAAATGTACTTGTATTTTGTATAAATTACACAAAATATTTTTTTTTAATGATTTCAGGAGTCACAGGTATCTAGCCTACAGAAGCTTTGTGAGCTGGTGCTGGGGCTTCCTTGGACGCAGGATCAGAGTGGTGATTCCGGTCTGCGTTGTCCTCAAGGAGGCAGGAGTTTCCTGATCCGCAAAATGTCGATGTTGGGTTCAGACAGCAGCCAAATTGAACCGTGTAGCATACCCGGCGATGACCTCGTCCCTGTCAGGTCGCTCATAATGGTGCAGGGTCCACAAAGACTTGGTCGAAGATGAGGTCCATCAAGTTGGCCACGTAGCCTGTGCAATGTTAAAAAAAAGCACAACAAAAAATGTGGTTTAGATTAGTATATGCATGTAAAAAACTGAAAGTTCTTTCTAATTTTATATTTGTAAATAGTTGTATAATAAATATTTTAAACACTTACGGAATGTGGGGTCAGTCTTTACTGGTTTTGCTCTGCATTCTCCCTTCCTGGCCTTTGGGAACTGCAGTTTATACAGAGGGTTTCCAGTGGATGTTGGCTTGTGCACGCTCAGCGTTTTCATTGTAGTGCAGGGCTGCCAGGTACAGTCTTTCATTTCC